CACATTGTAGGATTTTGTATGAATTTATTTGCAAATTATGGTGGAAAATAAGTATTTGGTCACCTACAAACAAGCAAGATTTCTGTCTCTCACAGACCTGTAACTTCTTCTTTAAGAGGCTTCTCTGTCCTCCACTCATTACCTGTATTAATGGCACCTGTTTGAACTTGTTATCAGTATAAAAGACACCTGTCCACAACCTCAAACAGTCACACTCCAAACTCCACTATGGCCAAGACCAAAGAGCTGTCAAAGGACACCAGAAACAAAATTGTAGACCTGCACCAGGCTGGGAAGACTGAATCTGCAATAGGTAAGCAGCTTGGTTTAAAGAAATCAACTGTGGGAGCAATTATTAGGAAATGGAAGACATACAAGACCACTGATAATCTCCCTCGATCTGGGGCTCCACGCAAGATCTCACCCCGTGGGGTCAAAATGATCACAAGAACGGTGAGAAAAAATCCCAGAACCACACGGGGGGACCTAGTGAATGACCTGCAGAGAGCTGGGACCAAAGTAACAAAGCCTACCATCAGTAACACACTACGCCGCCAGGGACTCAAATCCTCCAGTGCCAGACGTGTCCCCCTGCTTAAGCCAGTACAGGTCCAGGCCCGTCTGAAGTTTGCTAGAGTGCATTTGGATGATCCAGAAGAGGATTGGGAGAATGTCATATGGTCAGATGAAACCAAAATAGAACTTTTTGGTAAAAACTCAACTCATCGTGTTTGGAGGACAAAGAATGCTGAGTTGCATCCAAAGAACACCATACCTACTGTGAAGCATGGGGGTGGAAACATCATGCTTTGGGGATGTTTTTCTGCAAAGGGACCAGGACGACTGATCCATGTAAAGGAAAGAATGAATGGGGCCATGTATCGTGAGATTTTGAGTGAAAACTGGCCTAGCCAGTCTCCAGATCTCAACCCCATAGAAAATCTTTGGAGGGAGTTGAAAGTCCGTGTTGCCCAGCGACAGCCCCAAAACATCACTGCTCTAGAGGAGATCTGCATGGAGGAATGGGCCAAAATACCAGCAACAGTGTGTGAAAATCTTGTGAAGACTTACAGAAAACGTTTGACCTGTGTCATTGCCAACAAAGGGTATATAAGAAAGTATTGAGAAACTTTTGTTATTGACCAAATACTTATTTTCCACCATAATTTGCAAATAAATTCATTACAAATCCTACAATGTGATTTTCTGGAATTTTTTTTCTCATTTTGTCTGTAATAGTTGACGTGTACCTATGATGAAAATTACAGGCCTCTCTCATCTTTTTAAGTGGGAGAACTTGCACAATTGGTGGCTGACTAAATACTTTTTCCCCCCACTGTATCTTGTGTTGTTTGGTCACAGCATCGAGGGTAGAATATCTTCACTATGTACCATATATCATAAGTAAAGTATGATTTGTATGCTCTTCAAATTAACAATTAGAAAGTTATCTGATCACACGCCAGTACAAAATATTAACTCTCTAAGGAACCAGTATTTTTCTTTTTCCATTACGTTATTTGTAGGCCTATATCTGTGGAAGTTATTTGGATGTGTGTACACACATTTGGAACAAATGACTGATGATAATTGACATACAGTGTATTCGGAAAGTATTAAGACCCCTTGACTTTTTTCACATTTTGTTACGTTACAGCCTTTTTCTAAAATGGATTAAATAAAAAAATATCCTCATCAATCTACACACAATACCCCATAATGACAAAGCGAAAACAGAAAAACCTTATTTACATAAGTATTCAGACCCTTTGCTATGAGACTCGAAATTTAGCTCAGGTGCATTTTTTTATTTATTTCACCTTTATTTAACCAGGTAAGCCAGTTGAGAACAAGTTCTCATTTACAACTGCGACCTGGCCAAGATAAAGCAAAGCAGTGCGATAAAAACAACAACACAGAGTTACATATGGGGTAAAACAAAACATAAAGTCAAAAATACAACAGAAAATATATATACAGTGTGTGCAAATGTAGCAAGTTATGGAGGTAAGGCAATAAATAGGCCATAGTGCAAAATAATTACAATTAGTATTAACACTGGAATGATAGATGTGCAAGAGATGATGTGCAAATAGAGATACTGGGGTGCAAACGAGCAAAATAAATAACAACATGGGGATGAGGTGGGCTGTGTACAGGTGCAGTGATCGGTAAGGTGCTCTGACAACTGATGCTTAAAGTTAGTGAGGGAGATAAGAGTCTCCAGCTTCAGAGATTTTTGCAGTTCGTTCCAGTCCAGTTTTGCATCCTGTTTCCATTGATCATCCTTGAGATGTTTCTACAAGTTGATTGGAGTCCACCTGTGGTAAATTCAATTGATTGGGCATGATTTGGAAAGGCACACACCTGTCTATATAAGGTCCCACAGTTGACAGTGCATGTCAGAGCAAAAACCAAGCCATGAGGTCGAAGGAATTGTCCGTAGAGCTACGAGACAGGATTGTGTCGAGGCACAGTTCTGGGGAAGGGTACCAAAAAAATTATACAGCATTGAAGGTCCCCCAAGAACAGTGGCCTCCATCATTCTTAAAGGGAAGAAGTTTGTAACCACCAAGACTCTTCCTAGAGCTGGCCACCCGGCCAAACTGAGCAATTGCGGGAGAAGGGCCTTGGTCAGAGAGGAGACCAAGAACCCGATGGTCACTCTGACAGAGCTCCAGAGTTCCTCTGTGGAGATGGGAGAACCTTCCAGAAGGACAAGCATCTCTGCAGCACTCCACCAATCAGGCCTTTATGGTAGAGTGGCCAGATGGAAGCCACTCCTCAGTAAAAGGCACATGACAGCCCATTTGGAGTTTGCTAAAAGGCACCTAAAGGACTCTCAGACCATGGGAAACAAGATTCTCTGGTCTGATGAAACCAAAATTGAACTCTTTGGCCTGAATGTCACGTCTGGAGGAAACCTGGCACCATCCCTACGGTGAGCATGGTGGTGGCAGCATCATGCTGTGGGGATGTTTTTCAGCGGCAGGGACTGGGAGACTAGTCAGGATCGAGGGAAAGATGAACGGAGCAAAGTACAGAGAGATCCTTGATGAAAACCTGCTCCAGAGCGCTCAGGACCTCAGACTAGGGCGAAGGTTCACCTTCCAACAGGACAACGACCCTAAGCACACAGCCAAGACAATGCAGGAGTGGCTTCGGGACAAGTCTCTGAATGTCCTTGAGTGGCCCAGCCAGAGCCCGGACTTAAACCTGACCGAACATCTCTGGAGAGACCTGAAAATAGCTGTGCAGCGACGCTCCCCATCCAACCTGACAGAGCTTGAGAAGATCTGCAGAGAAGAATGGGAGAAACTCACCCAAGAAGACTCGAGGCTGTAATCGCTGCCAAAGGTGCTTCAACAAAGTACTGAGTAAAAGGTCTGAATACATATGTAAATGTGATATTTCAGTTTTTTATTTGTAATATATTAGCCAATTTTTTTGTTGTTGCTGTTTTTGCTTTGGCATTATGGGGTATTGTGTGTAGATTGATGAGGGAAACAAATTATTTAATAAATTTTAGAATAAGGCTTTAACGTAACAAAATGTGGAAAAAGTCTAGGGGTCTGAATACTTTCTGAATGCAATGTACTTTAACACAAAACAAGGACAGAAGTATGATATTTACAGATTCTCTGCATGATAAGTGGAAAGCTGTAGGTGCACCGCTGTGAAATCGTGATTTATCAAAATAACCAGTGACACAAAATCAGCGGCCTGGAAGAATGGTTCCTCATTATCTGTCAGATCTCCGTCAGATCCCATAGTCTTCCGACAGAGATAACATTTGAATGTTTTTGACTAATTGCTGTTGTTTTGTAGGGTCATTGTCTTAGGAAACAGTTATTGAGCCCTGAGGGCAGGGTCAAGGTAAATATGAAATCCTTTAAATACAACCTTCTGCTAAAAATGATTACTTTCTACAAAAATATGTCAGTTGGAAACTTGTTGAATGTTGTTCACTCTTTACCGAAGAGTATTGTTTTGCAGAGTCAGGGTGGGGACGAACCCAGGGGTGATCCTGGATTCTTGGTCAACGTGGCACCCTCTGAGGAAACAAAGAATCCTGTAAGAAACACATTGTTATTTTATTTATTACGTTTATTTACCATGGCCTATTAATGTAATAACTTATTATCTACAAAGATCATTTGAAGATAATTCAGTTGGGAACTAGCTGAGTGACATCACTTGACTGATGATGATCGTTTTCCAGGGTCCATCTCAGTGCATTGACGACCAGTTGGGTGTTCCTGGAGTGGTAGTCTATGACCAGTGGACATCTCCCATGAACCAGGCACCTCTTCATGGATCTTCATTGATTGTTTGATTGATTGATTGATTGATTGATTGACTGACAGATTAATTCATTTATTACACTGTGAAAATGATATTATGGCAACTGGAGACTAAACCATGTGATAATAAAACAGGTACATGTCCCCCCCACCCCCCCCCCAGTTTTATCATTGGAATGTGATACAAAACAAGGCGATGGTGTGATTTAGGACCATGCGGACGCCTCAAATGAAATGAAATAAATGCTAAATGATGTAAATGTAAAATGTAAATGAAATCAAATGTTATTTGCCACATGCGCCGAATACAACAGGTGTAGACCTTACAGTGAAATGCTTACTTACAAGCCCTTAACCAACAATGCAGTTTTAAGAAAATAAAAAAGTGTTAAGTAAAAAATAGATAAGTAAAAAATAGAAAATATAACACAGGCCGAGCGGTCAGGTAGGCTGTTTGGAGTTTTTATCAGACTGAAAAAAATATATAAAAAAATAATGATGTCCCCCTTACTTCTAAAACCAAAGTTGCGCCCCTGTAATAAAAGTGAACACACATGGTGAGATGTCAGTGTTAGAAAACCAGTTAATAATTGGGTGTGTCATGTGACAGGGCTGTGAAAAAGAGAATGCAGTTGAACCCACCCGTTATCAAGCCAGTCAGAGAGTGATTGCTGTTGAACTAGGCAGAAGCACCTGGTCACGGGTGTTCATTTTGCCCACAGGGATGTGGAGCTGGTCAGGGTTGGTGGTGGGAGCAGAAAGACGGGGGGCTGGGATTATGGGGTTTCTGCGCCCCATAAGACTTTCCTGTCAGTGACCAGGGGGGAGTTTTTGTAAAAGTCCTCGTCATCTGATTCCGTCAACTCCCCTGAACCGAAGGCAGAGACCTCCACATGGTCACCACAGTCCTCCTGGTCCGTTACCAACCCAGTCAGTGAGTGATTGCTGTTGAACTAGACAGAAGCACCTGGTCACCTCCACATGGTCACCACAGTCCTCCTGGTCCAAGGGGCAGGGAGGGTGAGGGTTGGACAGCATCAGGGACTCTTTGGTGGTCTCAAGTGGGGGCAGGGAGGGTCTTATTCTACACTAATTTCACTCACACATTACACTATGTTTAGACTATGGATTGTTTTTCTCAATCATGTGACATAGCAAGATTTTGTCCTGTATTTTAAGCCTTTTCCAGAAATGAGAATTACACCAAAAAATTAAAGCGATTGTCTAATGATGGGGCTGTACAATGTGACATAAAAAGAAAAGGGGACAGTTTGCTGAAAAAGCTTTCAATAAAGGTTAAAATCCAGGCATGTCACATGACTGCACAAAACACAGGTTCTTAATTCCGCTTCAGTTCCGGTGCTCTGCATGCAAATAGATATGGTACACTGGTCCTGATAGAGACATGTTTGTGACTCCCATAGATAACAAAAAAAAAATCTTGGTTCATCTGTTCTGTTGTATTGTTATCAAATGTTAAGGTTGAACACTGACACTTATGAAGCTTACACAAGTGCAGAGTTCCTCAAGAGACTATGCATATCCCAATGCTGGGATATGTAAATAATAATGTTAGGAATAGATATTAGAATATGTAATGTAAAATTTTTTCAAGGAAAATTGAAATTTGCAGTGTACAAACTTAACACGATGAACAGTAATGACATTTACTCTTATTTATTTTATTTATTCACCTTTATTTATACAGGTAAGTCAATTAAGAACAAATTCTAATTTACAATGACGACCTGTTTTACGGGTGGCCAAAAATAATTATCTGAAAGCCACACCCCTAATAAGCCACGTGTGTGTTCTGTCCAATATTTACCCAGCGTTGGGTTACTAAATACCCCAAATTGGGTTGTTTTTAACCCAGAGAGTGTAGGACCAAGAACATGTATTCAAAATAGCTTCTGAAGTTTCGAAATGGTATGTTAAAGGTTCCGAACATTCATTCTGATTCCTATGTAAAATAGACATTTGAGTGACTAAAACATCACCCATAATATTTATTGGGGGATAAAAATGCTTGAAATGTTAAACTACCAGGAAGTCTGAAAAGACAGACTGAGTGGGCGAGGAGCTCACTTTGACTGACGGTTCTTTGAAAACGCCCATGTCAAGCAACATGGACGCAGTGAGATTATATTAAGAAAATTTGCTGATACACAAAGCACTCAAACAACATTGAAATTGCATGCAACGTCCAACATACATCACATCATGGTTTCACAAATTATTTGTTTATCCAACTGTTTGGTTATTGTAACAGCATCAATATAGACAATAATTTAGCATAGCTTGCCCAAATGGAATTGTCAGCACTGTTTTATCAAGCTAGCTATCTAGTTAATCTTGGACTATTTCAGTTGACACTGGACATGGTGAGGTCTGGGTATACTTCATTAAAAAAAATATAGACTGCCAGACAATGTTCATAAACCATGACTATCAATGATGTCAAGAGTTTTTTTTAAACATCCTCTGTTTGGCATGTCTCTTCATGTGATGACATGACAACTGCATCAGAGTTTTGAGCGACCGTTCCCCCCCGTTTGTTCCAACCTGGCTGGGAAACCAATATGTATTTTTCGCCTTCGATGAATAGGGGAAAACTTGTAATTATATATGCTGACGTCAAATTTTGGCACCTGTAGACTAGCTACCTAGCTATGCATTCCCTACCACTAAATGAATGCGCGTATCATTGGAAGCTAACCCTGAAGATGTCAAGTCATGTTTATGCTGTTATTATGGTGGCTATGTGTAGTAGTGAGGATCCATTCATTTGATAAGGCATTCGTACCCATAAAAAAGCCACTCAACACAGGAGTATACAAAGTATTTTACCAAGTGTATTTCCCCTCTGTCAATGTACTGTACACATATTAAGATTCATTTCACAGGAACACTTTACAGTATCATTGAGTGAGGACAGGAATATACTCTGAGCAGTGTTAAATGGCACTTCATAAAATAATAAGAGGAAATCACAGAAATTGAACATGTTAACATAAATACAACAGAAAGAATGGCAACACGACAGCCAAAAGAGCCATGTTTTTCAGTGTACATAAAATGCACATCACCCTATGTGTTTTCCCTCTAAACGTTTACATACAATCACTAACCAGTCCTTAATGGAAATGTAATGCCATTCAACATTGAAAAAGAAAATACTGACAATGGGTTTCTGTAGTCAGACAATGTTGTCTCATCACAGACAAATCTGTATCTGATTAAAAGGTAACAAACAAATGAACTCCTTATTTTGTTAAGGAGGAATGCTAACAAGAGAAACACCTAAATATCTGAGAAACAGCTTTACAATTCACAAACCTTCAATAATGTATCTCACATAATAGTATTTTATTAATGGGTAGAAAAACCAGAATACACGTTCAGTTTGCTTTCAAAGGAAAAACTTGTTTATCTCTCAAATATATTTTTCTACTGTTTGTGCCTTTCCAGTTTTGTATGTCAATTTTGAAGAAGGAAGGGAAAGCCAGCCTCTTGACACAAGGTTGGGCATCTCCCCCTCCCTCAGGAACCACTAGAAAAAGTTATTCAAAAGTGAATCTGTGTCCTGCAGCTCCCTTTCATATTCACTCTCTACTTCTCCTCATGGGGAATCTGGCTGGAGTGTTGACAGTGGTAACCGTGGAGGCAGAACATCTCTCACATTAAGTGTATTTTTCATGTCTGTTCGTCTATGTACTCCAGAGAACAAACAAACAAGCAATGCTTTTTCAATCCCAAGACGTCTTTACAGACAAATATGTTTACAGAGCAATGTCTTTGCTACAGTAGCATTTTGCTTTTTTGAGATTTGTGAAGTTTGAGGAGCTTCTTCCTAGATGGAATGACACACTGTAGCTCTTTGATCTCTTAGATCTCTCCTCACACAGACAGAATCCGGCTCATCTCATCCATCCACATAGAGGGGTTGTTGGCTAAATTAGGCTGTGAATTGTATATTACCTTTGAAAACCTGTATTTTCCATAAGGAAATAAATACAGCATCATGCTTAAAACATGGTTCAATGATATTCAACCAGCAACATTTCACCATGGACAACCAGAGAGATAGACTGAGTGGAAATTGTTTAACGCAGGATAACACAAAATGGGGTAGGCTAGTCTGCAGAGAAGGTGGGTCACCCAGTCTCCAAGTATGGGTATGGCTTTCGTTTATTCTAGTAAACACTATTGGGTTGCTCTGTGGTTATCTACCATAACGACCAATCGGTACACACTGATACCTCTGACGTCATTAGAAGACAGAGAGACTCGAGATTCTTGAGAACTGACATTCATGCAAATCTTTTTCTATAGTACAATGGTCTTTTCTATAGTACAACGGTCTCAGCTCAGTTTTCACTGTGAACCATAACCATACAGTTGATAGATAGGGGTGCTATATACAAAGACAGCAAATGGATATGCTTCTATTCCAGTATGAAATGGTATGTTAACTAATACAGTACTTGGTATGTGATAGAGATTATGAAAATATAATTTACCAGGAACTGTGGAAATACTGATGGGAAGTTTTCTTTTTTGTTAGTTTCTGTGGCACAAATGTAACAATTACACCCTAAACTTGGGATATTTATCTAGTGGATAATGTGGAATTGTAATTGATTGGGAGAACCCCCTTTCCATGATTTTCCTCTAGCCTATCTCTCTCTCGCTCTCCTTCTCTCTCCTTCCCTCTCTCAGACGTAATACTCTTTGTGTTTGTTCTTGTTGCCCTTGGTGACAGCCTTGGCTACTGTAGCCGTTATACTTGGTGTCTTCTCTAGCTTGACCACGGCCCCGTTGCCCTCGGCAACTGGGTTGTTGATGAAGTTGTGTCCCTGGTCCGTCTGGTAGGAGCCCTCGTCACGGTTGCGGTACTTGTACATGGCGTAGAGGAGGATGAGAATGCAGAGGGCAGCAGCTGCCACAATGCCAACCACCATCCCTGTGGTGCTACTGGACTCTCCGATCCTATCCACCAGGCCGGGGTGCATGACCTTCTCACCGGGAGCTGTAGGGTCAGCTGTGGGCACATGGGGGAAATTGGAGGGGTAAGTTAGTCCAGGTGTATTCCGAGATGATGGTGGGGCGGGGGGCAGAAGCACCTGGTCACGGGTGTTCATTTTGCCCGCCGGGGATGTGGAGCTGGTCGGGGTTGGTGGTGGGAGCAGAAAGAGGGGGGCGGGGATTATGGGGTTTCTGGGCCCCACCCTCACCCGCGCCGGGGGGAGGAGGAGGCAAGACTGTCCTGTCAGTGACCAAGGGGGAGTTTTTGTAAAAGTCCTCGTCATCTGATTCCGTCAACTCCCCCGAACCGAAGGCAGAGACCTCCACATGGTCACTGCATTCCTCCTGGTACGAGGGGCAGGGAGGGTGAGGGTTGGACAGCATCAGGGACTCTTTGGTGGTCTCAAGTGGGGACAGGGAGGTGGGAGGAGGGGGGAAAGCAGGGTGACGGGTGGCGATGGATGGGGGCTCAAGGGAATCCACTGTTATTATAGGCAACACTAATTCACCTCCTAGAAAAGAAACAGAGAAGATAGGAGGAACACACATTAGAGGAGCATTACGAGACCCCAGACACGACTAATGAACAATTGTGCTCCTTATATTACAAACACAATGTGCTCATTATGTAGCTAGAATGTTCCAAACAACCTAATATTACGCCCTGTAGGGGCAAGATAATGAATATGGAAGATATTTAATTATACAGTATTATCAATAATATGGATTTGCTTACAGGTTCACATTTCTGGACTTCTCTTTATCAAAGAAGACATCAAACCACTTACGCACATCAACATATTGCCCCATGATTTTAGCATAAAGAGGAAACTTTTTTAAATAAAGCTGATATATATATACACACAGTGGCTTGCGAAAGTATTCACCCCCCTTGACATTTTTCCTATTTTGTTGCCATACAACCTAGAATTAAAATGGATTTTTTGGGGGTTTGTATCATTTGATTTATACAACATGCCTACCACTTCAAGTGAAATCACTAGGCTGCCAAAGTTCTATCAACATATCGACTGTTGTATTCGCGCTGCTAAAATCCTCGACCATTGCTATTCGAACTTCCGGGATGGTTATAAGGCCCTCCCCCGCCCTCCTTTCGGCAAATCTGAACACGACTCCATTTAGACTGGGATATGTTCCGGGTAGCTTGCGAAAATAATTTAGATGAATACACTGAAACGGTGACTGAGTTTATCAGGAAGTGTATAGGTGATGTTGTGCCAACTGTGACTATTAAAACCTACCCTAACCAGAAACCGTGGATAGATGGCAGCATTCGTGCAAAGCTGAAAGCACGAACCACCGCATTTAACCATGGAAAGGTGACTGGGAATATGGCAGAATACAAACAGTGCAGCTACTCACTCCGCAAGGCAATTAAACTGGCAAAACATCAGTATAGAGACAAAGTGGAGTAGCAATTAAATGGCACAGACACCAGACGTATGTGGCAGGGTCTACAGACAATCACGGACTACAAAAGGAAAACCATCCACGTCGCCGACACCGACGTCTCGCTTCCAGACAAGCTAAACATCTTCTTTGAGGATAACATAGTGCCACCGACGAGGCCCACTACCAAGGACTGTGGCCTCTCCTTCTCCGTGGCTGACGTGAGTAAGACATTTAAGCATGTTAACCCCCGCAAGGCTGCCGGCCCAAACGGCATCCCTAGCCGCGTCTTCAGAGCATGCGCAGACAAGCTATTCAATCTCTCCCTTTCCCAGTCTGCTGTTCCCACATGCTTCAAGATGGTCACCATTGTTTCTGTACCAAAGAAAGCAAAGGTAACTGAACTAAATGATTATCGCCCCATAGCACTCACCTCTGTCATCATGAAGTGCTTTGAGAGACTAGTCAAGGATCATATCACTTTTACCTTACCTGTCACCCTAATTTGCTTACCGCCCCAATAGATCCACAGATGTTGCAAATGCCATCACACTGCACACTGCCCTATCCCATCTGGACAAGAGGAATACCTATGTAAGAATGCTGTTCATTGACTATAGCTCAGCATTCAACACCATAGTACCCTCCAAGCTCATCATTAAGCTCGAGGCCCTGGGTCTGAACTCTGCCCTGTGCAACTGGGTCCTGGACTTCCTGATAGGCCGCCCCCAGGTGGTGAAGGTAGGAAACAACATCTCCACTTCACTGACCCTCAACACTGGGGCCCCACAAGGGTGCGTGCTCAGTCCCCTTCTGTACTCCCTGTTCACCCATGACTGCGTGGCCAAGCACACCTCCAACTCAATCATCAAGTTTGCAGATGACACAACAGTAGTAGGCTTGAATACCAACAATTACAAGACTGCCTACAGGGAGAAGGTGAGGGTTCTGGGAGGGTGGTACCAGGAAAATAACCTCTCACTCAATGTCAACAAAACAAAGGAGATGATCATGGACTTCAGGAAACAGCAGAGGGTGCACCCCCCTATCCACATCGACGGGACCGCAGTGGAGAAGGTGGAAAGCTTCAAGTTCCTTGGCATACAGATCACTGACAAACTGAAATGGTCCACCCACGCAGACAGTGTGGTGAAGAAGGTGCAACAGAGCCTCTTCAACCTCAGGAAGCTGAAGAAATTTGGCTTGGCACCTAAAACCCTCACAAACTTTTACAGATGCACAATTGAGAGCATCCTGTCGGGCTGTATCACCGCCTGGTACGGCAACTGCACCGCCCGCAACCGCAGGGCTCTCCACAGGGTGGTGCGGTCTGCCGAACGCATTACCGGGGGCAAACTACCCGCCCTCCAAGACACATACAACACCCGATGTCACAGGAAGGCCAAAAAGATCATCAAGGACTTCAACCACCCGAGCCACTGCCTGTTCACCCCGCTATCATCCAGAAGGCGAGGTCAGTACAGGTGCATCAAAGCTGGGACCGAAAGAATGAAAAACAGCTTCTATCTCAAGGCCATCAGACTGTTAAATAGCCATCACTAGCACATTCTAGGCTGCTGCTGCCTATTGAAATCACTGGCCACTTTAAGAAATGGAACACTAGTCACTTTAATAATGTTTACATATCTTGCACTGCTCACCTCATATGTATATATCTTAGTCTATGTCGCTCTGTCATTGCTTGTCCATGTATATATTCTTAAATTCCATTCCTTACTAGATTTGTGTGTATTGGGTATATGTTGTGAAATTGTTAGAGATTACTTGTTAGATATTACTGCACTGTTGGAGCTAGACGCACAAGCATTTCGCTACCCCCGCAATAACATCTGCTAAACACGTGTATGTGACAAATAACATTTGATTTGATTTGTAATCGTTAAGGACTGGGGAGATATTATTTGCCACATGTGCCGAATACAACAGGTGTAGATATTACAGTGAAATGCTTACTTACAAGCCCTTAACCAACAATGCAGTTTAAGAATTTTTTTAAAATAGCAAATAATTAAAGAGCAGCAGTAAAATAAAATAACAGTAGGGTGGTTATATACAGGGGGTACTGGTACAGAGTCAATGTGCGGGGGCACCAGTTAGTCGAGGTAATTGAGGTAATATGTACATGTGGGTAGAGTTAAAGTCACTATGCATAAATAATAATAAACAGAGTAGCAGCAGCGTAAAAGAGGGGATTGGGGTGGGGGGGCAATGCAAATAGTCCGGGTAGCCATGATTAGCTGTTCAGGAGTCTTATGGCTTGGGGGTAGAAGCTGTTAAGAAGCCTTTTGGACCTAGACTTGGCGCTCCGGTACCGTTTGCCGTGCGGTAACAGAGAGAACAGTCTATGACTAGGGTGGCTGGAGTCTTTGATAATTTTTAGGGCCTTCCTCTGACACCGCCTGGTATAGAGGTCCTGGATGACAGGAAGCTTGGCCCCAGTGATATACTGGGCCGTACACACTACCCTCTGTAGTGCCTTGCGGTCAGAGGCCAAGCAGTTGCCATACCAGGTGGTGATGCAACCAGTCAGGATGCTCTTGATGGTGCAGCTGAATAACTTTTTGAGGATCTGAGGACCCATGCCAAATCTTTTCAGTCTCCTGAGGGGGAATAGGCTTTGTCGTGCCCTCTTCACGACGGTCTTGGTGTGTTTGGACCATGATAGTTTGTTGGTGATGTGGACACCAAGGAACTTGAAACTCTCAACCTGTTCCACTACAGCCCCGTTTTTTTCCCCTGTAGTCCACAATCATCTCCTTTGTCTTGATCACGTTGAGGGAAAGGTTGTTATCCTGGCACCACACGGCCAAGTCTCTGATCTCCTCCCTATAGGCTGTCTCATCATTGTTGGTGATCAGGCCTACCACTGTTGTGTCGTCGGCAAACTTAATGATGGTGTTTGAGTGATGCCTGGCGATGCAGTCATGGGTGAACAGGGAGTCCAGGAGGGGACTGGGCACGCACCCCTGAGGGGCCCCCGTGTTGAGGATCAGTGTGGCAGATGTGTTGTTACCTACCCTTACCACCTGGGGGTGGCCTGTCAGGAAGTCCAGGATCCAGTTGCAGAGGGAGGTGTTTAGTCCCAGGGTCCTTAGCTTAGTGATGAGCTTTGAGGGCACTATGTTGTTGAAGATGCAAAATATATATTTTTTTAAACAAACAAGAAATAAGACAAGAAAAACAGAAAACTTGAGCGTGCATAACTATTCAACCCCCCCAAAGTCAATACTTTGTAGAGCCACCTTTTGCAGAAATTACAGCTGCAAGTCTCTTGGAGTATGTCTCTATAAGCTTGGCACATCTAGCCACTGGTATTTTTGCCCATTCTTCAAGGCAAAACTGCTCCAGCTCCTTCAAGTTGGATTGGTTCTGCTGGTGTACAGCAATCTTTAAGTCATACCACATATTCTCAATTGGATTGAGGTCTGGGCTTTGACTAGGCCATTCCAAGACATTTCAATGTTTACCCTTAAACCACTTGATTGTTGCTTTAGCAGTATGCTTAGGGTCATTGTCCTGCTGGAAGGTGAACCTCCGTCCCAGTCTCAAATCTCTGGACGACTGAAACAGGTTTCCCTCAAGAATGTCCCTGTATTTAGCGCCATCCATCATTCCTTCAATTCTGACCAGTTTCCCAGTCCCTGCCGATGAAAAACATCCCCACAGCATGATGCTGCCACCACCATGCTTCACTGTGGGGATGGTGTTCTCGGGGTGATGAGAGGTGTTGGGTTTGCGCCAGACATAGCGTTTTCCTTGATGGCCAAAAAGCTCAATTTTAGTCTCATCTGACCAGAGTACCTTCTTCCATATGTTTGGGGAGTCGCCCACATGCCTTTTGGCAAACACTATTTTTTTTCTTTAAGCAATGGCTTTTTTCTGGCCACTCTTCCGTAAAGCCCAGCTCTGTGGAGTGTACGGCTTAAAGTGGTCCTATGGACAGATACTCCAATCTCTGCTGTGGAGCTTTGCAGCTCCTTCAGGGTTATCTTTGGTCTCTTTGTTGCCTCTCTGATTAATGCCCTCCTTGCCTGGTCTGTGAGTTTTGGTGGACGGCCCTCTCTTGGCAGGTTTGTTGTGGTGCCATATTCTTTCCATTTTTTAATAATGGATTTAATGGTGCTCCGTGGGATGTTCAAAGTTTGGGATATTATTTTATAACCCGTGTAGCTCAATTGGTAGAGCATGGCGCTTGCAACGCCAGGGTTGTGGGTTTGTTTCCCACGGGGGGCCAGTATGAAACAAATATGTATGCACTCACTTACTGTATGTCGCTCTGGATAAGAGCGTCTGCTAAAATGACTAAAATGTAAATGTAAAATGTAACCCAACCCTGATCTGTACTTCTCCACAACTTTGTCCCTGACCTGTTTGGAGAGCTCCTTGGGCTTCATGGTGCCGCTTGCTTGGTGTTGCCCCTTGCTTAGTGGTGTTGCAGACTCTGGGGCCTTTCAGAACAGGTGTATATATACTGAGATCATGTGACACTTAAATAAAGTCCACCTGTGTGCAATCTAACTAATTATGTGACATCTGAAGGTAATTGGGTGCACCAGATCTTATTTAGGGGCTTCATAGCAAAGGGGGTGAATACATATGCATGCACCACTCTTCCGTTATTTATGTTTTAGATTTTTTTTAAACATTTACATTTACATCATTTAGCAGACGCTCTTATCCAGAGCGACTTACAAATTGGTGCATTCAACTTATGATAGCCAGTAATTTTTTTCATTTCACTATTTTGTGTTCGTCCATTACATGAAATCCAAATAAAAATCCATTTAAATTTCAGGTTGTAATGCAACAAAATAGGAAAAACGCCAAGGGGGTTGAATACACTGTATATATATACAGTTGAAGTCGGACTTTACATACACCTTAGCCAAATACATTTAAACTCAATTCTTCACAATTCCTGACATTTAATCCTAGTAAAAATTCCCTGTCTTAGGTCAGTTAGGATCACCACTTTATTTTAAGAATGTGAAACGTCAGAATAATAGTAGAGAGAATGATTTATTTCAGCTTTTATTTCGTTCATCACATTCCCAGTGGGTCAGAAGTACACTCAATTAGTATTTGGTAGCATTGCCTTTAAATTGTTTAACTTGGGTCAAACGTTTCGGGTAACCTTCCACAAGCTTCCCACAATAAGTTGGGTGAATTTTGGCCCATTCCTCCTGACAGAGCTGGTGTAACTGAGTCATGTTTGTAGGCCTCCTTGCTCGCACACACTTTTTCAGTTCTGCCCACTCATTTTCTATAGGATTGAGGTCAGGGCTTTGTGATGTCCACTCCAATACATTGACTTTGTTGTCCTTAAGCCATTTTGCCACAACTTTGGAAGTATGCTTGGGGTCACTGTCCATTTGAAAGACCCATTTGAGACCAAGCTTTAACTTCCTGAATGATGTCTTAAGATGTTGCTTCAATATATCCACAAAATGTTCCTTCCTCATGATGCCATCTATTTTGTGAAGTGCACCAGTCCCTCCTGCAGCAAAGCACCCCCACAGCATGATGCTGCCACCCCCATGCTTCACGGTTGGGATGGTGTTCTTTGGATTGCAAGCCTTCCCCTTTTTCCTCCAAACATAACGATGTTCATCATGGCCAAACAGTTATATTTTTGTTTCATCAGACCAGAGGACATTTCTCCAAAAAGTACGATCTTTGTCCCCATGTGCAGTTGCAAACCGTAGTCTGGCTTTTTTATGGCGGTTTTGGAGCACTGGCTTCTTCCTTGCTGAGCGGCCTTTCAGGTTATGTCGATATAGGACTCGTTTTACTGTGGATATAGATACTTTTGTACCTGTTTCTTCCAGCATCTTCACAAGGTCCTTTGCTGTTGTTCTGGGATTTATTTGCACTTTTTGCACCAAAGTAGGTTCATCTCTAGGAGACAGAAGGCGTCTCCTTCCTGAGCGTTATGACGGCTGCGTGGTCCCATGGTGTTTATACTTGCGTACTATTGTTTGTGTAGATGAACGTGGTACCTTCAGGCGGCATAAATGTATTAGTATTGTATTATTAGGGAACAAAGCTGTAAAAATACCAAGGTTTGGAAAACAATGAAAACAAGTCACCTAACTCTACTGGGGACATTCACCTAACTCTACTGGGGACATTCACCTAACTCTACTGGGGACATTCACCTAACTCTACTGGGGACATTCACCTAACTCTACTGGGGACATTCACCTAACTCTACTGGGGACATTCACCTAACTCTACTGGGGACATTCACCTAACTCTACTGGGGACATTCACCTAACTCTACTGGGGACATTCACCTAACTCTACTGGGGACATTCACCTAACTCTACTGGGGACATTCACCTAACTCTACTGGGGACATTCACCTAACTCTACTGGGGACATTCACCTAACTCTACTGGGGACATTCACCTAACTCTACTGGGGACATTCACCTAACTCTACTGGGGACATTCACCTAACTCTACTGGGGACATTCACCTAACTCTACTGGGGACATTCACCTAACTCTACTGGGGACATTCACCTAACTCTACTGGGGACATTCACCTAACTCTACTGGGGACAAGTAAGGCCGACCGGTCTGTCATGATCTAATGTCGCTTCTGAAACACTTGAAACATTTGCATGAAAACAAGAATGCCTTTTATTACAAAAATGAAGTAAGACAAAAACAACCCCTTCTGCATTTCGTACATGTAATACATTTCATGAGTAACCCTAGTAGTGAAATATGGAGCCAGAGGCAGTGATAGCTGCAGGAGTATTAAGATAAGTCATCCACGCACACCAAGGTCAAAGTCTTCTATGAGATGGATATGAGCACCGCCTCCGCCAACCAGCTGTACATTGAAGGGCCCAGCTGGGTCGTTCTTTCATTACGGTAACATTTGAGCATAGCATTTTGGAAAGGAATTACTACATTCTTCTAGATTTTGATTGATTTACATGTATTTGGGTACATCTTTCCATTCTAAATCAACTAATAATGGTAGATTAAATGATGAAATAATATTTACTATTTGTTTTTACCATTATGATAACATTGTGCCACCAGTATGAGAAGTAACACCAATGATGGTAAAACCAATTATGGTAACACCAATTATACATTTTAGGTAACTCAGGATTTTCTGAAATGGAGGCCACAAATGCTGAAATGTAAGGTCATCAAACCTTAAAAAATAATTGACTAAAGTGATATGATTAATCATTTTGCTCACTATGTTATTTCCCTTCATTTAAATTGACTAACGCCAAGTGACACTTGTGATTAAGATACCAAATTATCAATGGAATCCTCAAATTTATGACATACTAAAAGGGTGTGACTAGCTAATAATGTTCTTTAATATAGACCCAATTTACCACTGTAATTCAAGAATGTCCCAGCTGTTTTCCACAGTTGTTTATTTATTTTGTTTAGGGGAGTGGACACAAAGGGTAGAATGAGCTCTTATAATCTTCAGATAAGATCCTTGCTAGCTAGCGGCAGTAATGAAATCTCCCCTAACAGCGAGTTCAGAGCAGAGTTAGTAGCTGAGGACAAAATGAGCAACGAGAACAGACAAAATGAAAGTAGCGATAATAAGGCTAGCTAGATCAAGAACCATACGATTTATCCATGAGCTGATTCAAACTAACCAACTGGTCCCTAGTGTAGGAAGACACCCAGTAGAGTGGGGGAGATCCTGCTCCCTCCCGGTCCCTCCTAGGGCCTTGATATGACACTGAACCCCAGGCCAGGGCTGACAGACAGACTCACCTGTTCCAGGCTCACACTCCTCCAGATCCTCGTCATCACTGGGACACTCAGCAGACGCCACCAAGATGTCATCCGAGTTCTGAGACTGAAGAGAAGAGGAGAAGAGGACACAACGTTGGTGGCTTTGCGATCTATACTGCATCTTACCAGCATCTTTAAAACTCTTAGTTGTCAATGTCAGACATTAATAAAATAATAATACAAAGGTATTTCAAAAAAAGCTTTGTAAGTGAAACTTCATTATTTGAGAATTCTTCATAAAAACTAAGGCAGCCCTTGCTATTTCCACCAGATCAATAGTAGAATAAAAATCCATTATGGGCCAGGATTCAATTTCACAGCTCTAGTTCCATGATGCAATGATTGTGCTCAAACATTTATTTCCTAATACCTCCTGTCCCTGTACATTCATCAATATCCTGGACTACTGAAGCTATATAAATATCACATAGTTTGATCCGGAGATTACATGAATGCATCACTTGGTCCTCACATGTCAAAGCACAGACACCTCATGATAAATCATATCTGCACATGTAGGATATGAGACACTGCTATTTGACAGCTCTCACATACAGTACATTATTCATTGGCCTGTCCGGAATGCTTTTCAAAGAATGTAGTTACTAAAAACACCCAGTAGGTGTAGCCAAAACCTAAAGCTGTCTGGCATTATGACCTTCAGAAAGATCATTGAAATTCAACAAGGGCTTGAGAAATCTAGTCTATGTAAATCTATGCTAATGACCTCGAGTCACATAGACAGGGAAGTAAGCAGTTAGGCCATGATTGACATCAATGTATCTCCTTCATTATCGTATGGACAGGCCTATTACCAACTTATTTAGCTGGAGGAAGGAGCCTTTGGCCCGCCATACCATATCAATTTATTTACAGACAGTCACATGGAATGTGTCCAGAACTTGACATGCTTACTGGGCCATGGCTATTACAGAGTACAGTCATCCATCAAATATGCTTTTAAGACATTTGGAGCCATAGTTTTTTGTTTTTTTTAAAGGGTATCAACACTATGTTTTTTGTTGTTGTCAATAAAGCTTTAGTAACTGTGATCAGAACAATTGTTTTGCCGTTTGAAATGGTAGGACAATAAAAGAGTTGTCTTGTTTGGCACTTGTGTCTTGCTCTCAGATCCACACAGCACCATTGTGGCATTTTGAGTCTCTAATTAAAATATGCTGTATTGCTGCATTAGATCTGCCTGACTGTATTCATAAAGCAATTAGTCCCTCCTCCCTGTGTTTGTATATACAACGGCTGTAGTTTCATAAGAGACGTTTATTGTTTATGGTGCCATTGTAGCTTTTATTCATTTGGTTTGTTTCAGAAATGTATGACATGACATCATAACAAATGTTCAGCCCAGAGACTGATACACAAAACACTTTAAAACGAAGAGCACTACCTAAGAAATAAATACAGCATTTCATATTCCACTACTGTCATCTATTGGTACAGAGGAAGTTGACTGTGTTGTTCAGTAACATGTCCATAGGAGGCCTGCTGTCTTAACCCTATAGAGTAGAGGATGGAGGATATAAGGGTTGGTGTGAGGTGTGACCCAGGTGCGTTGCAGGATAGACAGTTGGCAGTAGGCAGAGATGGTGAAACAAGGATCTTTACTGGTGGTCCCAAAACCAGGATACAAAATAACGGACTTGTCACAATAAAATAAAGGAGGAGCACATTGGTCTCCCAAAACAGGCTGACAGCAAACATACGAAATACTAACTACGACTGAAAACAACAATGAAACAGGGAGAACACCTGAACTCTTCGAGCGCACGCACACCGGACAAGCCGCCACGAAGGCGCGCGTATCCCCACCAGAACATCCTACGCAGGAACTCCAACGTCCTGGCACTCCCCGGATGGCTGGTGAGGTCGGACGCGTGCGCCCACTGAAGCAGTCGCGAACGCACAGCCATGGGTACATACATCCTCCCCGATGGACCCCCGCCCGGATCGGGCTCTCGGCGTAGCGCTGCTCTGACCATTTACATTAAAACATTTTAGTCATTTTAGCAGACGCTCTTATCCAGAGTGACTTACAATTAGTGAGTGCATACATTTTCATACTGGCTCCCCGTGCGAATCAAACCCACAACCCTGGCGTTGCAAGTGCCATGCTCTACCAACTGAGCTACACGGGACCATCCTATCAATTCCCCGCGAAACTGGGGCAGCAATCAGGGCGTTGGGGACAATAGGGTCGTCCCTCTCCACCAGGTCCACGGGGTTGAACTGCTTGGTGTTCTTCGACCCCGGACGGTATGAGATCGTGAACCGGAACCTGGTGAAGAACAACGCCCACCTGGCCTGGTGCGAGTTGAGCCTCTTGGCCCCCTGAATGTAGGCTAAGTTATTATGGTCAGTCCATACGACAAATGGATGGGCGGCCCCCTCTAGCCAATGCCTCCACTCCCCCAGGGCGAGCTTGACCACTAGCAGCTCACGGTTCCCCACGTCGTAATTCTGCTCTGCCGGGGACAGCCGACGGGAGAAAAATACGAAGGGGTGAGTCTTACCGTCCGTGAGGAACAAGTCTGAAGCATCCACCTCCACAATGAACGGCAGGGACGGATCAGGATGCCCGAGGACCGGGCCGATGTAAAGCGCCGCTTCAGCGCAAAAATTGCAAATAAATCGCTTATAAAAATTAGCGAACCCTAAAAACTGTTGTTGTTGCTTGAGGGATGAGGGCTGGGGCCAATCCTGTACCGCGCTGACCTTGGCTGGGTCCATCCGTAGGTCCCCCTTGGTGACGATGAACCCCAGGAAGGAGACTGTCTGTGTGGAACAAACACTTCTCCGCCTTGACGTAGAGCTGGTTGGAGGACCTGCCGAACGTGCTGCTGGTGTTCACTCATGTCCTTTGAAAATATTAGGATGTCATCCAAATACACTAAAATGCTGTAGTAGAGGAGGTCCCGGAGCACGTCATTGACCAACGCCTGGAAACCCGCAGGCGCGTTGACTAGACCGAATGGCATGACTTGGTACTCGTAATGCCCACTGGGTGTGTTAAAAGCCGTCTTCCACTCGTCCCCCTCCCGAATCCTCATCAGGTTGTAGGCATTTCGCAAGTCCAACTTGGTGAAGACCCGGGCTCCCCGCAACAACTCGAATGCCGTCGTCATCAGGGGGCGTGGGTAGCGGTTCTTAACCGTGATGTCATTGAGCGCCCGGTAATCAATGCATGGCCGCTGCCCATCGTCCTTTTTCCCCACGAAGAAGAAGCTCGCGCCTGCGGGTGAGGTAGAGGGACGGATGTGCCTCGTCGATATACTCCCTCATGGCCAGCGTCTCCGGCCAGGACAAGGAAAACAATCGCCCTCGTGTGGGCATTGCGCCCGGCAGGAGATCGATAGCACAGTCGTATGGCCTGTGAGGAGGTAGGCCCTTGGCACGCCTCTAACTAAACACCTCCCCCAGATCTCAATACTCCCGGGGAACGCCTGCCAGGTCTGGGCTGGTGACGGAGTCTGTAGCCGCTATCCTCCCTGTGGCAACTGCCGCTAGGGCAGTAAGCGGTTCGCAGTGTGGTACCTGAGGGGACACTCCGGAGAGTCCACAATGAAAAACTGGATATCCTCCCATAGCTCCCCTGCCACCCGGACACGCACGGGGACAGTGCGCCGGGTGATGAAGCCCGACCCCAGCGGCCGGCCGTCCAGGCCCATGACCGGAACCGTCTCGGAGAGGGAGAGTAACGGAACGCTTCACCCTTTGGCCAGCCCCTTGTCCAGGCCCCCGAATCCACCAGTGTATGCACCCGACGCGCAGTGCGGGCCCACTGAACCCTGACGGAGAGAAAAGTCCGGGAGTCTCTGGGGTTGGGGTTATCCTCCCGATATTAGCGAGCCCTCCCATTTTCCGGGAGTCGCAGTGGTAACCTGTCTGGCCGCAGTACAGGCAACATCCCTGGCACAGACGTCTCTGCTTCTCCATCCTGGACGCCTTGCGTCATCCCTCTCTTGTGCGCCCTCTCACGACACCGATTGTCTATCCGCACCGAGAGGTCGACGAGGCCGTCCAGTCGCTCAGGCAGCTCCCTGAAGGAGAGTTTGTCCTTCATCCCCTCCGATAGACCCTGCGCGGATAGGACGACCAGGGCGGCCTCCTCCCATCCTGCCTCTCGAGCCCGGGTCCGGAACTCCACAGAGTAGTCCGCCACCGAACGGTCACCCTGCCGACAGGCCGTGAGCCGCCTCCCGGCCTCGTGCCCGACATCACCCGAGAGGTGTCGAACACCTTGTGAATTGGTAGGAGTAGGAGCACGCCGGAGTTTGGCTCTCCCACTCCGCGGTAGCCCAAGAAAGGGCCCGACCCGTCAACAGAGTGATAATGTAGGCCACCCGGCCCTGCTCCGTCGGGAAGGAGGAGGGTTGTAGGCTGAATACCAGGGAACACTGGGTGAGGAATTCCCTTCAGCCCTCTGGACGTCCGTCGTACCTCTCCGGAGGTGGTAGGCGGAGATTCTCAGTGATCTGCTGCAGGCTGCGGTCATGCTGGTTCAGCATAGCTCCCTGCGTTGCCAATGCGTTACGATACTGTGCTGCCTCCGCTGGGTCCATATAGGCTCTGTGTGACCCAGGTGCGGTGCAGGATAGACAGTAGGCAGAGATGGTGAAACAAGGATCTTTACCGGTGGTCCCAAAACCAGGATACAAAATAACGGACTTGTCACAATAAAATAAAGGAGGAGCAAATTGGTCTCCAAAAACAGGCTGACAGCAAACATGAAACAGGGAGAACACTTCTCAAGTACCTGTACATACGTCTCGCAATCAGACACTGAGTAGTACTGTTTGGCATCGAGAAACTAGCAGAGAGAAAAGAGCAAGGGAACACAGGGAAGTGAGGGCATAAATACACAGGTGAACAGGTAGACACAGGTGACACCAATAGGATAATGATTAGTCCAGACTGTGAGTGAGAAGGTGCCTAAGGTTGTCATAGGAAGACACCTAGTGGGTCGCTCCGGAACTGCGACCCCCTCCTGTAACAGGAGGATAAATCCTAATCACAACAGAGGGGAGAGGATTGCCAAGTGATTACACAGGTGTTTGTCTCTCCTATTTAGAGTGTTATAGAAAAAAAGAAAAATACTTTGAATATATTTTAGATTTGTACTGTTTACTATTTTGCTAACCTCTCTTTCCAAGTGACTGATGTTGATTTAAATATTCAGATAGCCCATGAACATAAATGATAAATTATGTTTTCATGTGTTGAAAGGGCAAGCATGGTAGTTAGCCACATTCTGCTGGGAACCAGATTCACAAAACATTTACATTTAAGTCATTTAGCAGACGCTCTTATCCAGAGCGACTTACAAATTGGTGCATTCAACTTAGGATAGCCAGTGGGACAACCACCCCCCCCTTTTTTATGGGGGGGTGGGGGAGGGGGGGTAGAAGGATTACTGTTATACTATTCCAGGTATTCCTTAAAGAGGTAGGGTTTGAAGTGTCTCCGGAAGGTGGTCAGTGACTCCGCTGTCCTGGCGTCGTGGGGGAGCTTGTTCCACCATTGGGGTGCCAGAGCAGCGAATAGCTTTGACTGGGCTGAGCGGGAACTGTGCTTCCGTAAAGGTAGGGGGGCTAGCAGGCCAGAGGTGGATGAACGTAGTGCCCTCGTTTGGGTGTAGGGTCTGATCAGAGCCTGAAGGTAAGGAGGTGCCGTTCCCCTTACAGCTCCGTAGGCAAGCACCATGGTTTTGTAATAGATGTGAGCTTCAACTGGAAGCCAGTGGAGAGTGCGGAGGAGCGGGGTGACATGAGAGAATTTGGGAAGGTTGAACACCAGACAGGCTGCAGCGTTCTTTCTTCTCATATATCTTCTTAACTGCCATTTTTTCCTTAATAGACTTAAGAAGAAAGTTAAGCAAAGTCGCTATTCCTCAAAAAGGTTATTGGAAATGTTCTTAATTCCAAGACAACTAAACCCTAGACTTAAACTCAGGGCAGTGAGAGAAAAAGCTCATGAAAGCAATTATTTTTTTTTTATTCACTCACAAACATCATTTGAAAGTTTCAGTATTGATTATTTTAAACACAAGAACATGTTTTAGAACAGTAATATCAGTAAGAAATATGCTAACATGATTGCCATTGCTAGCTAAATAGCTAGCTAAAACGGTTGCCTAGCAACAAACATCTGAAGAAGATTTGTAATTAGATATTTGAGAAGTTCGTAAGAAAATCATTAAATCTTAAGATATTGTTGAGGAATTGCACTTATGAACTATCTTATGACCTTCTTATTATTTTTCTTAAGAGGCTTCTTAAGTTTTTGTGTAAGAAGTGTTTTGTGAATCTGGGCCCTGGTCTCCCTAGGGCTATTTACATTAAGCAAGACTGGATTAAAGCTACTCCAAGGTTCTACGTGGGGTTGAATTTAGGTTAATCAACATTCATGCAAATGACTACCGGATCGCTGGATATGGAAATAGGCAGTTTAGCCGTGATTGGCATAAATTGTTATTGAGCGTGACCTTCCTTCATCTCTTGATGAACAAAGTCGAAGGCATATAAGGTTTAATCCAAGGAATGGGAGGAACGGAGGATGGTGGTCTCTTGACAACTTACTCTAAATGTGGTGTGGCCTTCTGCTTGGATCTATGTGGTGGCCTAACAATAGTCAGTGTAGGAAAATAATGTAGCTTCATCTGCTAAAAACCCTGTCAATCTAGCTTTTTGGGATTTGAAAAAAAAAGAAAGAGTGCATCACATCTCTGAGGGAGTTGACTTCCACAGGGTCTGCTAGTTTTGTAACTACTGTGAACTGTTACCATGACATTTAAAAGGCACAATACAAAAACACACAAATGGAACTGAATACATTTCGCCAACATAGAGAGTAGACAATATTTCACGTTGGAATGAGAGTTTAACAAACCAGCAATTGGAAAAACACTTTCAATAGAGAGCTAACTTATTTTCAAAGACGTGTCTAGGTCCAGTGCTTTGTCTGTTTTCCCTTATTGAAAAGCTCTTGGTTTTAATGAGTAACTACTGCCTCTTATCGGCAGAGGCAAGCAGCATAGTTATGTTGAAAATGTGCAAGGGAATTGAAAGACAGGGAGATTGTTCCTGTGAAAGTGTTCTTTAAGGATTGTTTTTGCAGTGCTCTCTGATTTGTCTGCCTGTTGAGTGTCAATGAGATATAATGTAGACGGAGCATCTGTCTCATGCAGCCAACCTCTTGGTAATGTCTGTCTGTCTGTCTGTCTGTCTGTCTGTCTGTCTGTCTGTCTGTCTGTCTGTCTGTCTGTCTGTCTGTCTGTCTGTCTGTCTGTCTGTCTGTCTGTCTGTCTGTCTGTCTGTCTGTCTGTCTGTCTGTCTGTCTGTCTGTCTGTCTGTCTGTCTGTCTGTCTGTCTGTCTGTCTGTCTGTCTGTCTGTCTTCACAGAACTCTCCCATCTAAACGGTTACTTACAGTATGCTGTCGGCCTACTGTTTAGCCCTCACACTAGCTCACCCACAGTCCTGTCAGAATCACCTCTAGCATTAGGAGAAGACCGTACATACAGTTTCTTATAGTACAATGTTAAAGCCAGGATTACTGAATGAGGGACTGTTAACACTGATAAAATGGCTAGTCTGAGTCATTAGCCATCATTACATCACCTTTTGCACCATTGGTCACTAATAATGTTCAACATTATTATATATTATTATATTATATTATATTATTATTATATTATTATTATATTAACATGGCCCTAGTACCCTGCCCTGACCACAAGCCCCCACCCGGCCCTCCCTCTGACCTGGGAGATGCTCTCCCTCATGCTGGGGGAGCGTTGCCTGCGGGTGGTGGTGGTGGCCATGGTGGTGGTGGTCTCCATGATTGTGGTGGACATGTCGGAGACAGCCAGTGGGGTGGTGGAGGTGGTCTCAGTGGTCAGCACTGACAGTGAGTCTCCCACCAGCCTCAGGTTCCCCTCGGCCTGGACACTGGGGTCACTCTCTGATGCCAGCTTCAGCACCTGCAGGCCGTTATAGTAGAGACCAGAGATCTGGCCCTGGAACGGCCGGCCCTTGTCCTGACCCCCGATCTTTATCTCTGCCTGGCTGTTGAAGATGGTCAGCTGTCGTCCTGTAGTGAGGTAAAGGAAGAGGAGAAAGAGAGATAGAAGAAGAAAGAGATAGAAGTGGAGAGAGAGAGAGACAGACACAAACAGGCAGACATCCAATTACATTTAAGCAATAAGGCCCGAAGGGGTGTGGTATATGGCCAATATACCACGGCTAAGGGCTGTTCTTAAGCACAACGCAAAGCGGAGTGCCTGGATACAGCCCTTATCCGTGGTATATTGGTCATATACCAACAACCCCCTAAGTGCCTTATTGCTATTATAAACTGGTCACCAATGTAATTAGAGCAGTAAAAATAAATGTTTTGTCATATCCGTGGTATACGGTCTGATATACCACGGCTGTCAGCCAATCAGCATTCAGGGTTCGAACCACCCAGTTTATAAAATGAGTTATACCATGTTAAAGACTCAGAAGGGCCTTAGTAAAATGTCATAATAGGTATGTTAACACCTTGTCTGGAATGTTTAATTCAATCAAAGTGTTCTGGTTTGTATTTTGTATATTTCTATTCAGACATCTTATTGGTCACATAGACAAGGGCCCATATGGTCTGAGGGTAAGGTGTGGTTAGTTTGAATGTTAGCTTGGTACATCAACTGGTTAGTGTTTAAAAGCAGAGTTAGTGACTTGGCTTAATCCTGGTCATAGGGTCAAAAAAGGGGCTTTTCAAATCGGTTAAGTCTTTGCAAAGGGGAAGATGGCACAATATTGGGTATACTTTTACTTTCATTTAGCTATCAGTGTGTTTACAGAGCGCAATGGGAGAAAGGAGAGTCATGGGAAAGTGTACGCACATAACTTCCCTTCATAAAACACAGGAAGTCGTTTCTCTGAATTGATGGACAACTAGTGACTGGGCATTTCCCCATTCATCCTCTCAGTCAGAGGTTGGTGGACCAATCAGTGTTGGTTCTCCGAAGCAGCACTGATAGTAAGCACTGTTACTGTTAAATCATCACTCAGTGAGATCAGCATGTTCAGAGCGGGTAATGTAATGTGAGTCCTTATCTGGAGAACGTTGATTAACTATATATCATATGTAGTGTTGCAGTGACAGTAATTTACCTGTCTGCCAGGGTCTCAGCCCCTTTGTCCCTGAACATGTCTGTAATATGGTTGCCAAGAATGCAAGGAAATCATCTGGAGGTATAGTAGGGAGAGTATAGTGGTGTTTAGTGGGGGTTACATTAGCATGGGGCTTTTAGCATGGCCAATTAACCGCAGTGTAGACTATACATGAACCATCCAGTTTAGAGAATTTAGAGAGACCAGGATGTGAATTTAAATGGAAGGTTTATTGTGAGATACTGTAATACCTTTTTGCAAGAACCACCAGCATTAGATTAAATGTTCCTTTACCAGCTAATTATTCCAGTTGTTTAGCAGGTTATTTATCATTGTAATGATGTTCATGTCACAAGAATAATAAACAGATAATAACAAGGTAATAAAGTCAGCAGCATCTAATTAAACACAATAATTAGGAGGGACTTTTTGGAGGGTTAGTCAGGGGTTATGTTTATTTAGTTAATTGGTTTTAAAATCTCTGAAGAGGTGCAGCATTCCCAGAAGGTCTGGGGATGGCAAAGGATACCTGGTAGATGTACTGTACTGTCGCCCATGATACTAAATGGCATTAGGTAGGTTATTCTAAATGGCTATTGGTTATATGGCTGATTCCCATCATAATCACTACCATCCACAGTCAATTTCAGTCCAAAGTCCCAAACAGACCCAACCCAACATGCTGACATCTGTATCTTTATACCGTACATACAGTAGGTAAAAGCATTTGATCCTTTGCTTGTCGCCTTTGTCTCTTGGCACTGCACCTCTTACAGGGATTAGACAGAGGGATTTAACTGGATTTAGTAACTGTTTAATGGATTAATTAATTTTTTGTTTACCTTTGTCGAGTAGCCACTCGTCAACTACCCGACCAAGTCGGTATGGGATTCTTTGTCTAGCAATAGCCAGGCGCTCATTATCAAAGTTCCCTTCAAAGAATTTGGAGAGACAGATTAGAGGTTAAAGTCTGGAAGTTGAAAGATCACAAGGTTAGAGACAGGGCATCATGGCTAACACGTTTAGCAAGTTAACAATTTTAACCCAGCTTCAGGTTAAAATAAACTTGTGCTTTACTTAGTGGTATTTATTAAGGGATAGTAACAAAGGATACACTAGTTAGAATGGTGTTTAGTTCTATTTATAAAGTACTGAGCTGGTTCATTTAGTGGGGATTGGTGTAATTATTAACTTTTTAGCCAAGCATCAGGGCTTAAATGCAAACAAAATGGAAGAAGAGATATAGCTGTAATTGGGAGAAAACAGCAAGAGAGCAACAATGCATGCATTTAAAATACAACATCAATTCACAGTTTAACCTTTAGAACCATGAACACAGCTTGAGTAAATAGCAGGAAGACATTCTCTGGTCTTTCTCATCTCAATGGAAGGACATTACTATGGTGATTATTACTGTTAAGGGAAGTAGCCTAGCAGGGTTCCTTATTCTTCAAGAAAGTGATTCATGATAGGATGAACATTTGATACACAGACATTTCAATCAATTGTTAGTTGCTCTGAAAATAAATAAATATATATACGTATCTATCTATCTATCTATCTATCTATCTATCTATCTATCTATCTATCTATCTATCTATCTATCTATCTATCTATCTATCTATCTATCTATCTATCTATCTATCTATCTATCTATCTATCTATCTATACACAGTGCTTCAGAAAGTATTCATAACCCTTGATTTATTCCACATGTTGTTGTGTTAAAGCCTGAATTCAGAATGGATTAAATATTTTTTTTCTTCTCACCCATCTACACACAATACCCCATAATGACAAAGTGAAAACCTGTTTCAATACATTTTTGCAAATCTATTGAATATGAAATACAGAAATATTTCATTTACATAAGTATTCACACCCCTGAGTCAATACATGTGAGTACGGAGTATACACATACACACAGACTTTTATCTATGTAAAGTCCTGTGTAGCTCAGTTGGTAGAGCATGGCGTTTGCAACGCCAGGGTTTTGGGTTCGATTCCCACGGGGGGCCAGTATGAAAATGTATGTACTCACTAACTGTAAGTCGCTCTGGATAAGAGCGTCTGCTAAATGACTAAAATAAAATAAAATAAAAAATAATAATTTTAAATTTTAAATTTATGTTAGCATCACCTTTGGCAGCGATTAAAGCTGTGAGTCTTTCTGGGTAATAGTGATGCGCAGGTTGACTCATAACCCCCAGTCCCCGCGGTTATATACGAAGGGCAGACAGGTTTAGAATCATTAAATATTGTGTGGCTGGCGGGCGGGTTGAAGAAAGAGAAACAATATCATAAAAAATACATAAATCTATAATTATTGTGCAATTTATATAGGCTACATTGAGGTTTTTCTTTAATTATTTTAGGCCTGGTATTACCGCATAAACCTAAGCTTTAGGGTTTAGGGCTAATGCAACCCTTGCTGCAACCCTTGCTGTTAATAGATCGCAAAGCAGCGTACAACTGAGTTAAACGTTTGGTAAAAGTTCACTTTCTCATCCATAGCCTAAATACGCATATCAAGTGCAAGTAAGGCCTAGCTTTTTACCTCACATCTGAAGGCTGGGGGGTATTTAGGACTTCTTCTACTGCGGATCGCTAAAATATCCTAATGATTATGATCACACTTCATCAATCAACATATTATGGCGACACTATATCAAATATGGTTTGGTATGGTTTAGAAATTTGAGAACCAATCTCGAGTTATCAGTGTAGCCTGTTATCACCTAGACTTTTTGAAATACTGTATTTTCACGCCTAGAAAAAAACCTCCAGGCTTCCATCATAAATGTCAATTTATTAAAAATACAAAAATTAAGAAAACTCATCCCGTCCGAAACGTCCTCTGGAATAACAGACATTCTGGGGTAATAAATACATGACCAACGTTCTCTAGTAATACTAGTCCCGTGCGATTAGGGCTATAGCCTTAATATTAACTCCTGCAGAATTAAGCATTTCTTGCAGTAAAATGATACACCAAATGTAGGCGAAATTTGGACTTTGGAACAGGAGTGGATGAATATGATTTCTTTCTTTTTGCATCTTGAGATAATGTGATGCTCGATTAGATAATATCTGTAGAGGAGCTGTCTTCATAATAAAAGCATCTTAAAAGCTGATAGTATTTCAACCACATAACATATGCATGGAAGTCGAACTGAAATCTTATCAGAAACACGTTGGGTTGTTGTCACAGCTTCTTTTTCCTTACAACCGGTCAAACTGATGTCATTTGGACATTTTGCACAGCAAAAGTGTCCCATATATTTTTTTTGTTGCTTTAATGTATTTTCTCCCCAGTCCCTAAACTTCTTTGCTCCGCGAAAGATGACAGAGAACATTTTACCGATGTCAACTAGATTAAAGCATTCATTCTATAGCTCTATTACATGAATCTGTTGAGCAAGGGTTTATTTAGTCTTCTAGGGAAACATATAATGACAAAAGAGAAGCTATATGTATCTAATTATAGACAACTTGATTAACAAATAGCCTACCAAAATGTCTGAAATTATAAACAGAAGCATATCTAAATCAGGCAACAACAAAAAATCCTGCACCACCTGTCCAAAAATCGTTCTGCAGTCTTTGCGGGTTATCACATATAGTTGGGTGATTGCGGATGGATTATTAGCAATTGTGGGCGGGTCCGGTTGAACAAACAGCTGACCAGCACACAACTACTGGGTAAGTCTCTAAGACAGCGATTCCCAAACTCGGTCCTGGGGACCCCAAGGGGTGCTTGATGATGGGTTCATTATTTGAATCAGCTGTGTAGTGCTAGGGCAAAAACCAAAACGTGCATCCAGGGGGGGGGCCCCAGGACCGAGTTTGGGAAACGCAGATTTGGACACCTGGATTGTACAATATTTGCCCATTATTCTTTTCAAAATTCTTCAAGCTCTGTCAAGTTGGTTGTTGATCATTGCTAGACAACCATTTTCCTGTCTTGCCATATATTTTTTAGCAGATTTAAGTCAAAACAATAACTCGGCCACTCGGGAACATTCACTGTCTTCTTGGTAAGCAATTTGTGTTTTAGGTTATTGTCCTGCTGAAAGGTGAATTAATCTTCCAGTGTCTGGTGGAAAGCAGACTGAACTAGGTTTTCTTCTAGGATTTTGCCTGTGCTTATAGCTCCATTCCGTTTCTTTTTTATCCTGAAAATCTCCCCAGTCCTTAACGATTACAAATCAAATCAAATTTTATTTGTCACATACACGTGTTTAGCAGATGTTATAGCGGGTGTAGCGAAATGCTTGTGCTTCTAGCTCCGACAGTGCAGTAGTATCTAAAAAGTAATATCTAACAATTTCACAACATATACCTAATACACACAAAACTAGTAAGGAATGGAATTTAAGAAAATATACATATATGGACAAGCAATGACAATGACAGAGCGGCATGGACTAAGATAAGTAGAATATTATAGAATAGAATGCAGTATATACATATGAGATGAGTAGTGCAAGATATGTAAACATTATTAAAGTGACTGTAAACATTATTAAAGTGACTAGTGTTCAATTTCTTAAAGTGGCCAGTGATTTCAATAGGCAGCAGCAGCCTCTAATACCCATAACATGATGCAGCCACCACTATACTTGAAAATATGGAGAGTGTATTCAGTAACGGGTTTTATTGGATTTGCCCCAAACATAACACTTTGTATTCAGGACAAAAAGTTAATTGCTTAGCCACATTGTTTTGCAGTATTACTTTAGTACCTTGTTGCAAACAGTATTGGTGTTTTGCAATATTTGTTATTGTGTACAGGCTTCCTTCTTTTCACTCTGTCAATTGAGTTAGTACTGTGGAGTAACTACAATGTTGTTGATCCATCCTCAGTTTTCTCCTATCACAGCCATTCAACTCTGTAACTGTTTTAAAGTCACCATTGGCCTCATGGTGAAATCCCTGAGCGTTTTCCTTCCTCTCCGGCAACTGAGTTAGGCAAGACACCTGTATCTTTGTAGTGACTGGGTGTATTGATACACCATCCAAAGTGTAATTAATATCTTCACCATGCTCAAAGGGATATTCAATGCTTTTTTTTTTTACCCATCTATCAATAGGTGTCCTTCTTTGCGAGGCATTGGAAAACTCCCTGGTCTTTGTGATTTAATCTGTGTTTGAAATTCACTGCTTGACTGAGGGACATTACAGATAATTGTATGTGTGGGGTACAGAGATGAGGTAGTCATTCAAAAATCATGTTAAACACTATTATTGAACACAGAGTGAGTCCATGCATCTTATTATGTGACTCGTTAAGCACATGTTTACTCCTGAACTTATTTAGGCTTGCCATAACAAAGGGGTTACTGACTCAAGACATTTCAGCTTTTCATTTTTAATTAATTTGTAAAAAAATGTAAAAACATAATTACACTTTGACATTATGGGGTATTGTGTGTGGGCCATTGACCCCAAAAAATCTCGATTTAATCCATTTTAAATTCAGGCTGTAACACAACAAAATGTGGAAAAAGTCAAGGTGTGTAAATACTTTCTGAAGGTACTGTGTATGTACAGTTGAAGTCGGAAGTTTACATACACTTAGGTTGGAGTCATTAAAACTCGTTTTTCAACCACTCCACACATTTCTTGTTAACAAACTATAGTTTTGGCAAGTCAGTTAGGACATCTACTTTGTGCATGACACAAGTACTTTTTCCAACAATTGTTTACAGACAGATTATTTCACTTATAATTCACTGTATCACAATTCCAGTGGGTCAGAAGTTTACATACACTAAGTTGACTGTGCCTTTAAACAGCTTGGGAAATTCCAGAAAATGATGTCATGGCATTAGAAGCTTCTGATAGGCTAATTGACATCATTTGAGTCAATTGGAGGTGTACCTGTGGATGTATTTCAAGGCCTACATTCAAACTCAGTGCCTCTTTGC